CTCCCCACATTGTGAGCCCTAAAAGTACATGACAAATTTGGTGACAATCTTTTCAGAAGTTCACCAGTCAAAGTGGACACACATTTTTGTCAACTGATGGTTTAGATAAATTATGCTGAACACATTTATATGCAAGCAAGTAGTAAAGAACAAGTTTAAAAGACCAAGACTTGAACTATAAAGTATAAGTCTAGAATAAAAATAAACAATAAATGTCGAGTTATAGCATAACTACATTAAACGACTATTTACAACTCTGAATACATTTTATTTACCCAAAGTACCAAGTCTTAAGTGAGTATTTTTAGCTGACACTGAGAAGTTACAAGCACTTACGAAAGTTAACTTTTTTTGTTGAAAATTAAGTATTACTTTTGCACAAGATTCAGAATAGTTCAATTAGTGTGTTTTGGTTAAGATTTAACACCTTGTACATTTTACACCTGCAGGTACAGCCTAAGTGTAAAGTTATAATATTAGGCCTAATACTCAGATCAATAGGCCTCACTACTATTTTTAGAATGTTAAGTTGCAAGCATTTATACTATAGTACTTCAGGATACTAATAATAACATCTAAGTTACTAAATATTAGATTGAAATAATGAACAATTAGAAGAGTTAGCTAAAGAAGATGGAAATTTTATTTATTTTAGTAAGAGTTAAAACTATTGTGCTATTACTATTGCAGTATTTGGTAGTTTTAAGCATTTTAGCAAATTACTTAGAAGTAATAATTAGTTGCATGTACTTTAACTAGATTTGTTGACACCTGCAGTCATTAATAGTATTAATAACAATATTAGTTACTTAGGATACTACAGTCTTAGATTTATGTAAAACCAGTATATATCCTGTCAAAAATGATGGGGCAAGTACTACCACCCCTACCCCATAGTATACCCAAACCTTACATTTCATAACTAACTGAAATAAATAAATTTTGCAAAATCAAGCTTGACCAACAAAGAGGCAGAAAAGTGCAGTTGAGGCAGTCAAAAGTCAATTCCTTTGTGAGCCAATCAAAATTAAGATAATTCATGAAATGAATTCATAGCATATTCATAGGATAATTATTGTTAAAAATCAATTAGATTAACAACTTCTAATATATAGAAAAGCCAGTACATTTTGGTAGCACCACATTACAACAATGGCTTTTATGTCATGTTGCTTAGCAACAAAAGTATAACCTAATCTTGTTGTTAGTCTATGTATTGACAGTATAAAATGAAATGTATTGACAACAAAACTGGAAAAATATTTGTTGATTTCTTAATTTAGTCTGTGTTGATTAAAGATGTTTGTTTTTATTAAAAATGTTGGTGATATAACAGAAAATTGCTTAATTCAGAAACAATTTAAGTTTAAAATTGAATCGATATTTTTTACTTTCATGATAAGTTTTATGCATTTGGCTCTAGGCTACGTGATCTTACACTATGTCTTTACTTTAGGCTTATTATACAAACACTCACTACACTTAAAAGGTTTTACTGTACATGCCCAACATGGCTTCCCACCACTAAATTGGTATGGGCAGACAGTAATTAAACGATTAAGTCTGAATAAATGCATTTTGGCTTTTATGACTCTTCCTATTTTGAGAAATCAAGCATGGCGTGACACACACTGGACTGTATATAGGTTAGATTCATATACTATCAGATACCTTAATTTTAGTTATATCTACAAAATTGGTTACCACTAGTAAAATGTTAGCATGGTAAGAGATAGTTCAGGTATAAGTGGGATGGAGTTTATAAGTGGCATTAGGTGCCAGGATATTATTATGTTTGTGAATTGTGGGCTTACTTTCAGGAAGTTCCATAAAGATACAGTATATTTTACTTACAGATACTTATTTGAGGTTCTTAAAAATAACTTTGGAGAATATTACTCTATTAGAGGGAAAAAATAGAAAATTAGGAACAGAAATCAAAAACTAAGACAGGAAATGGATAGAATTAAGATAAATGTTGCTTTAGGGTAGGGGAAAATAAGAGTTCTAGATTTACACAGTAATAAAAGACTAAAGAGACAGGTTCAGCTACAGTTATAACTGATTTGCAGTGGAGAAGGAGATGAACAAGAGGTTTACACAGTGGGAGACTCACTCATTAAGTATACTGTTAGTTCTTTGTAAAGGGGAGTATATAAAGTTTACGACTTCTATCTGGACGATAGAAAGAGTATGGATTTAATGTACTCAGATTTTCAAAAAGCTTCTGGTAAGATGCCATACAGAACACTGACCAAGAAAATCCCATTGGTATGGACTGAAAAAAGATTACTTAACTGGATTATAAGGTGGCAGATAGCACTGTAATATATTGTAATTTACAGTGTTAATATGTATTTTAGTTATTTATAGTATTAAATAGATTTGATACATAATATTAAATGTTTTAAACAATATTAACAACAGTGGTCATATGATAGGCTTGATACATGAAACTTTACATGCAACAATTCTGTTTCAGAGCTTAGTAATTTTACTAAGAAGGCCCAACCTTAACAGGTGTTTTTGGGTTAGGGCTGAAACCACTGCAAACAGATTGGGTATCCAACAGAGGACCTAAGTGGTCATAGAAGCTCTTTGTAGTTTGCTCGTTGCTCATAATTAAGACTATTGGTATTATTGTAGATTTTTAGCAACACTTCTGGTAGAAGTTATTGCATAATTGAGACACTGCTTTTTCATGTTTATATTAATAATATTGATAGGGGCATAATCAGTAAATTATTAGTTTGCTGATGTCATTAAACTCTTGGGATTTCTAGCTGTATTGAGGTTGGTAAGGTACTAGAGCAGTGGTTCTTAACCTTTTTTTGGCTGTGACCCAAATTTTGGTTGCAGGGCTAGCTCGGTGGCCCATGCCCTCAAATAGACCTTCTTAACACAGCCACTGTTGGACTACAAAAGAAAGTTCAGACAGCCACTGGAGACCCTTGGCAACCCACTCAAAATGGCTTGGCGACTCAAATTTAGGTCGTCACCTATGGGTTAAGAACCACTGTACTAAAGAATGACTTGCAGAGATTGACAAGTTTAAAAATATTTGGCAAATGACCTTTAATAACATAAAGGCAAAATAATGCATTTGGTTTATCATAACTTAGGCACATTTAACACAAACAGGAACCCATTCAATAGTGTGATTGAAGAAAAGGATGTTGGAATAGTGTTTGATACATCACTTGAGTCACAGTGGGCATGTTTTGTTTCCATTACTAAAGCCAATAGAATTTTAAATGCATTTATAGACATATTGATAATCTAGTTACACAAGTCACTGGTAAAGCTTCACTTGATGATACTGTGTAGTCTTGTCCATATCTATAAAAGATATTTACATATTGGACAGATTTCAGAGGAGGGCTACTGAGATGATTTTGAAGATGGAAGGGTTATCTTAAAGGGATACATAGGTTAAGAACACTTAACTTTTCTCTTAAGAAATGAAGAACAATAGGTGATCTTATTCAAGTTCACAAGCTTATCTAGTAGATCAACTAGATATAGGCTTCTAATTTCTTTAAGCTGTATCCCAGGGGGAACAGGATGAAAGAACATAGGTTTAAGATTTGAAAAAAGGCATGCCAGACTCCAGTTAAGACAGCTACATTGTACATTACAGCTACATTATTACAAACGCAATAAACTTAAGGAATGAGTTGCTAGTGGCAGTAGTTTAAGCCAACACCTTACAGGAGTTTAAATGGGGAATCAATGAATTCCTGAAAAATAAAATTTGGGTTTAAATTGTGTACGGACAACCCTGAATACCAAAATGATTTCTTGTCGTCTGTGTGTTGTTAGTTTCACCAACATAATATAAGAAATCACTGTGTGCACCAATAATTACAACATATATATATATATTTATTTCAATTTTATGGTTATCACTTTAGCTGTAATGACAAATGTGTAAAAAATTAACTTTTTTTTTTTAAATAACACTGGTAAAGATTTGAAATTTCTTATAACTATTGTGGAAGAATTTTTCTAAACACAGAAGTTCCTCTTAATATCAGAACCTTTGGATTTCTTTTAATATCTAACAAGCAAGGATACAGAATTTTTTGAAGGGTGGGGTTCAGCCTGTAAAAAGGCATACATATAGAAAATCCAAAATTAATGATGAAAAATATAGGTGTTGCATATTAATAGCATTTTGCATCAAAAAGGGCAGGGTTCAAACCCTTGGAATCCTACCCCTGTATCTGCTACTGTCTAAAATACGGTACTTTAGATTTTGTCAAAATATTTTAAAATGTAAATTGTAGTTTACATAATTCTTCATATAAACAATGAAATTTTTTTGTCTGAATTGAAGTATTTTGAACATTTTGTTTCAAAAGAAAATTGTTTACTGATATTATTTATTTACAGCCTAAATGGCATTTGGAATTTCAAATATAAAATCAAAATATGCTATACTTACTAATTCAAAATATGAATAAAAAAAAGTGATGATTATTTGGTAGTGCTACTACCAGAGATGGAACAGGAGCCTGTAGTGGCTAGACTCCTATTTTAAGTATTACCATTAAGAATTTCTAGAATTCCTCAAACAAACAATATTAACTAAGCCTACATAGAAGATAGGCCCTGTATATAATAAAATCAAAGTCTACAAACCTAAGGTAATTCAAATCTGAAATACTTTAAAACAATTATTGACCGACTCTGGCATTTACTAGCCTCCATGTCCACAATGGGATTGCCACTATTGGCAATGCCTAATGGTAATGAATACAACATTATATTATTTTAATAGTCATCATGAGCTAAGTTATTTCTCGTTATTTATTATTTACTTTTTAACCGATTATGCTCCGTCCTTTTTATTCAATTATTAACCATAATTTATTACTACGTATAAGGTAGCTGCTTTAGTTTTTAACTTTACCGTACGTCACTAACTTGAATAACACTACTAATAGTAGTAGTAAGCCTAGTACTACTCAGTACTAGTTATTATTTAACTTATTTACCAATTGAAATTGGAAAGTCTGGAACGTAGGCTTGGTAATCTTCTCCAACTCGCATTCCAGAATCTGTCGAATGAATAATAAATAAGAGCTTACTATGATAGAAAATTAGTATTAGAATAAAAGACTTAAGTAAGTTTGTATACTGTTTGTTGTTTTGTGTTTCAACATGAAATTTTAACATTTAACTTTAAATTTAAGTGTTCAGGAAACAAAAAGTCATGTAAGATAAAATGAAAATAGATTTCAAGGCTATTGTCCCAACTCAAATTTTAAATGTACCAAATATCCAATTTACAAAAGACGTTGCTACATTACTTTAAAATTTATTACTTATTTAGTTATTATTAGGAATAACATTACCAATACCATGTTCCGATTCATCAGTTGTACTATCCTCATCTGAGAAGTGTCCATTGTTAGTAGCTGGACTAGCGCCGCGAGATCGACGACCGTTTCGAGTGGTTAATTCATCACCGTTTCTTTCTGCTAAAACCATTTTTGAGACAAAAATTTACAATTATTGTATATGATCCCCAAATAAAAAAAATTCAAGAACAGTGGACTACCTTCCGTAACCTTCGCGTTCTAACACAAAAGTTATTATCATCCTTTGCCTCCGTAGTTTCGGAGTTCCTACCTATTTGCTTGATGATGAGGGTAGATAGAAGGGCAAAACACCAAGAACAAGCGGTATCCTTTCAACCGAGAAACTAGTTCCATATTTGATAAGATATCCAAATAAAACTACGTAAAGTTTGAATGGAATATTATGTTTTAAACAAATATCTGTACGCACTTGTACATTAATCTTTCTTCTTTTATTTCTAATATTTTTTAAGAGTAAAACCTTATTAACGGTTTTGATTAAGCTTACGAATATTAATTTTCACAAACAATGAATGATAAATGTTAAAATATAAATATTAAAACAATCACAAATATACTTCTAAAGATCTTCAAGTAACTGAACTAGTTAAATGCTTCCTCTGATAGTTTCTTGTAAAATAAAAGTGAGAAACAATAGTGTCCATCTTTTATTCCATTTTATCCTCCGTAGTATTCTTAACAATTGTACTAATTAACGTGTTAGTTATTATTATATTCACGCATATGCTAGTAGGTGATAAACACCATCTTATTACTACAATATATTGAATTGTTAGTTTCACCACCCTGGTCTAATTTTCAAAACAAGAAAATTTAACTTCTTTAGTTTTGACTTTAGAGAATCAAATGGATTAAAGTTTTAGTTGTAGCCGTTAGGGTAAAAATCATTGTTGAAAAATTGTATTATTACGCCAAAAATTTTAAAATCAAAGTGGTTGGGATAACAATTATATTGTTTCATTTAAGCTGACTTACTGGTGATAATTATTTTTATGTAACAGCTTTTACAATAGGTTTTAAGGGAAAATCTTTATTTAGCCACGTAAAACATTTCGATCTCTTGTGCGATAATTCTCTAATACACAGGTTGTAATGGTGGTAACCAGACAATTAGACACTTAAGAAAATGAAGAAGTAGGACTTTTAGACACCAAGTAATTTCAGAGAGCGGTGTTAAAACTTTGCAACCTACTTAAAGGAAAAACCGGTTACCATGCAGGTCATATAATGGAGTAAATTAAACTGTTAATATAATAAACCTAGATCTTTGTAGGTGAAATAACAGAGTAGGTTTAATAATTTTAATAAAATAGGCCTATATCTGTATAGTACAGTATAGTTCATATTGTTGCGTCATCGAGATCATGTGATTCTCACGCTCTCTCCTTTCTAGAATTAT